ATCGGTGTAGCTTGAACTAATGCTTTTTTACCAAAAACGATGCAAGGGACCCGTTACCGAGCATCACGTAATACCTTAACATAAGCGAGAAATACATACAATAGTCTAATTTAAAATATATTAAGCAAAAATAAAATACGCTAGACCAAACTATAAATATTAATTTTAACAATATTAATTGATAGGCAAATTTCGTTCTATTAAATTTTTACGTATTGAATCTAAAATCTTGACTAGTGGTAAGACCTCTTGTGAGTCCACACGGGTAGGTATCACCACTCTGCCTATTTCTGCCATGAAGCAGTAATGCGTTTCGGTTTGAAGGGTGGGGAAGCCGTTGTAACTATATTGAGACCTTAGAACTTATATCTCAAGGTAGGTGGCGGCATTTACATTGTCGCTATCTATGGGCCCGGTAACTAACCAGGTGGGCCATAAACTCATCCACCTATGTAAACATAATATTACTTTGGGTGTTTATGTCATGTATTTTATTGAGGAATACTTCCGAAGGTTTGTTTGATGACACCTTCAACTACTTTTTGTCATTGCAAAACCTAAGTCGAGAACTTTTTTCAATGATGGGAAATGGCATGGCTTTGCCCGTAACTTTGCTGGTGTTCATAAAGATGATCGATCTTACCATCACTCGATTGTGAGAAAAAAGAGAGAGAGAGATAATACACTATGGCACACCCAGAACATAATTAAAATTAAAAAAAATACAGTCAACGAGCAGATATAGTGTACAATCGGCGGTCTTATCACTGAAAGCGATCTCTTCCAGACAACTGTTTTATTTACAGAAATTCTGAAAAGATAAAGACACGGCAAGTTTGTTGCAGTGTACTATTAACAATACATTGTTAAAGAAAATACATATATACAATAAATATATTTATACCGTTTGCATATATTATGAAATCACTATACGATTTATATAACAATATACTTAAATACTAATATCTATATATTAATACACGAAGCAAACACTTTGTACCCCTTTTTACGAAAATTGCGCGGACGGAGGAGTAAGAAATTTCCTACACTTATAGATAATGTAGAGAAAGAGTGCAGGATGCTAATCTTTTTTAAATTATGCATAAAAAATACATTGAAACTATAATTAAAAAAATACGCACACTACCATGTATTTCACACAACACATATAATATAATAATATACTCTTTCTTTATTGTCAAACTTTTCTTATTGCTTAAAGTCTGTGGTGAAATTGAGAATAGATTAATATAGTTTGTCTTTAATATTATTTGTCTAAGTGTAGTCTTGGCGAAATCTGTGATTACAGAAGTAGGTATAAGAGTCTTTGACAAACTTTGATAATGTTCAACCTTATAATGTTCAATTAATTATAGTCGAATTTCGACTACTGAAGGACCTCTAGGACTATTTATAATACTTCCGATTATCTCGGAAACAAACACTAACAAGTCGAAATATATGCATTGCTCACCCTTTTTTTAAGAGTTTCAATGTGATTCCGTTAATCTTCCATTCTCGTTAAATTTTGATATCAAAATCCAAATTCGTCACTAAAGAAAAAACTATTAATTAAATTGGTCAACGTGTTGTCGTAAGATAACTATCAATACGTGTACATTCAATCGAAAAAGTCAATTGTACGCGGCTGTTTACTGTATCTGATATAATATTTGGGTCTAGGTTCATTATCTAGACTGTTCACAACTAGGCCAATGCATGCGTCGTTCCACATTGCTAGTAAAATAAACATATTTGTAAATTAATTGACGGAATGCATATTCAAAAGCAATCGTTGATAACATCCCGTTATCCCCTTACTACTCGACAACAAGCAATTAGGTCAAGAATCTTGTGGTCGCCGCCAGCAGTTTAGTTAAATGAACCGCATTATCAGCCACCAAGCAATACATTCAATTGAATGCGTTATTATTTTGAGTGGTGCGTGAGGTCACACGCCCTTGGGGGATCGTTTACCGAATGTAGAGCAGGAGACGTAGTAAAATATAGTACAAGGATTGCATTGTTTATTTATTTCTTATCTTATCTCCGATATCTTGCTAGTCATGTTTTGTGACGGTTCTTTGTTGGATTGTCCTTCAACTTGCTTTAAGTTCATTCAACATAATTACAAGTATATCTACACTCGAGCGTTGTTGCATAGTTAACTGATTTGTAATTCAAATGTACTATATTGGCATGCTCCAGCAATTTTGTTGAAACTCATTAGTTAATACGATTAAATAGATTTTGTAGGAACAAGGACGGTTCTGAGAAAAGTAAAACTGGGTAATAATGTTTTGGCAAATANAACTTGCTTTAAGTTCATTCAACATAATTACAAGTATATCTACACTCGAGCGTTGTTGCATAGTTAACTGATTTGTAATTCAAATGTACTATATTGGCATGCTCCAGCAATTTTGTTGAAACTCATTAGTTAATACGATTAAATAGATTTTGTAGGAACAAGGACGGTTCTGAGAAAAGTAAAACTGGGTAATAATGTTTTGGCAAATAAAGATTTATTATTATTATTAAATAACACAGGAAACAAAATGCGCAAACAGCTTAATATACAAGAGTACCAATAAACTATATTCGGAATGGAATTAATATACCTTAGGTGTGATGATTGCTGAAAATAATAATTAAGTATGGGATTGCTATAGGCATGACTTCAACAGTGAACGTATCATATTTAATACTCTATAATGGTGCTTGGTGACAAACTGTATTATCTGTAAATACCCACAAAGCTGTTCAAATAAAAATTTCACTATTTCGATGAGCTAAAAATAAACATTATGTTTTATTCTCGTGCTTGCTTATTTTATAATTTCTTTAAAGCACACTGTTTCCAGGAAGCAAACTAAAGATGATAAGAAAAAGCCGAAAAGTTCGTAAACGGAAACACAAATCCGCTCGGTCATATTAAAAAAATTAAAATTGTGATATCACACACGCTTCGATGTTTAGGAGCTTTCCTTCCCTTTAGTATGTGCTTCCAAAACATTGTCAAAGATAACCAACGATTGAGGTAATTTAGGCAAAATTCTGCTATAATAAAAGGATCCAATTAAAGTACTGGTGGTAGGACCTCTTGTGAGTCCGCACGGGTAGGTACCACCGCCCTGCCTATTTCTGCCGTGAAGCAGTAATGCGTTTCGGTTTGAAGGGTGGAGCGGCCGTTGTAACTATACTGAGATCTTAGAACTTATATCTTAAGGTGGGTGGCGGCATTTACATTGTAGATGTCTATGGGCTCCAGTAACCACTTAACAACAGGTGGGCTGTGAGCTCGTCCACCCACCTAAGCAATAAAAAAAAAAAGTAACTTTATTCTTATCATCATCATTTATTTACAAAATTCTATCAATCGTTTATTTAACAATCAAATCTAAAAATACCAATACATACTTTTTATTCAGTGAATAATACATTGTAACATACGAGAGCTAACAATAAGTAGCTCAGTGTGTCGTCTCCTCATTAAAACTAAGTCTGGTCACGGTTGACTGCTTTTGTACTAGTTCCAGTTAAAATACAACTTTTTTGCCAGGGTCACATGGCTGGTAGTCCATTTTAAGTTAAGAATATTCCTGTTGAAAAACTCAACTTTGGTCCATTAATAGAAAATTGCTAAGTGACGATATGGTTCAGGTCCTCAACCTGTATAGTCGGTATTTTGTATTATTCCCTGAAGTCACGATAGGATAAGACGCAAAATACACAGATAAATTATTTGTGACTTGCGATATTATCGAAATAATGTAAAATACTGTTTACTAAAATTTAATGTTACTGTATTTATCAACAGTAACCATGAACCGGTGAATCCTTGCAATTGCAACGGAGAAAGTATAAGTTTAATTGTGATAATGAACGAGTTTATTGCATGCATCACTCATTTAATACAATATTATTTATAGACCGTCCGAAATGTATTTTCTTAGTAAAATGCTAAGTGGTGACACTTTGTTTTCAAATTTTTTTACTTTTGTTTTACAAAATGTGTATTATATAATGAATGGGTTTTCGAGTTGTGTTATTTTATTGCTATTGTAATGTTTCGCTTCAATTACCTTTTTAAAAAACATGGAATTACTATTTAGATAAAATAATAGAAAATCGGTTTCAATGTGTTCACACTTTTCGTGTGCAACTATAGTAAAGTATTCTATTGTAGAACAAATAATAATTAAAATACCTACAATTTTTTTCATTAAACAAGAAGAAGCCAAATATTACGTACAATCACCAGATGAGTCCGTAAAAAAGTTACCGTTAATGTTACGGATGTGTACAAGTGAAATGAACGGACCCGTTAATGTGTTCACAAAAACTCGCACTACCGCTTTTCAAGATGCCAATGCCTGCGACTAGCCGTGTGTCAATTACTCACATATTTACCTGTCACCGAATGCAGTTAGACAGATCGGACGTTGACGTACGGTACGCGACGTCAACGGTGGTCGCTCGATCTTACATAACATACGGTTACGCAAAGCCAATGTCAAGAACACGTCACACGGCGTCGAATGTTGAGCAACCGTCGGTCCGGTGCGCACATATTATATACTACATATTTAATTCAACGTATATTCGGCTATTTGCACTCGTCGACGCATGCAGGTCGACGACCGCTGTACTCGCACACGAAATAAAATTTGAACTTGTAAACATTACATTCAAGACTTATCAGAATTATTTACTTGGTTGATAAATAGCGATATGTTGTTCTGCGTCTCCTCGGTAACTCGCCAACTGTTTGACTAGGCGAAATTTGAACTTTAATTTAGTAACGCGTTTTATTTTTGCATTCACGTGACACGCATTCTTTTCACGTACATATTATTATATAATAGTATATATTTTTTCTGTTCTAGAACAAACAGTATTACAAATTAATTGCGACGTACTGTAATAGCTCAGATATACTTTGAAATTAGACTAATTATTTTGATATTGCTATGAGACCGAGCCATATTGTGATGCAGAGTACATCTCCTCCTCTGCTGGACTGGTCGTGTGTGCCGACGCTGGTGCTTGCCGTGATCGCGGTGGTGGTAGCTGTAACCGCGTTGCTAACGAGAACATCGGATGCTAAGCACTCGTGTCGTCTACCCGGCCCTCAGCCTCTTCCCTTCCTGGGAACCAGGTGGCTATTCTGGAGTAGATACAAAATGAATAAGCTGCACGAGGCTTATGCAGGTATGAAAAGATAATTTTTTTAAATTTGTTGTTGCTTAGATGGGTGGACGAGCTCACAGTCCACCTGGTGTTAAGTGGTTACTGGAGCCCATAGACATTTAGGTACAACGTAAATGCGCCACCCACCTTGAGATATAAGTTCTAAGGTCTCAGTATAGTTACAACGGCTGTCCCACCCTTCAAACCGAAACGCATTACTGTTCACGGCAGAAATAGGCAGGGCGGTGGTACCTACCCGTGCGGACTCACATGACGTCCTACCACCAGTAATTACGCAAATTATAATTTTGCGGGTTTGCTTTTTACTACACGATGTTATTCCTTCACCGTGAAAGTCAATCGTGAACATTTGTTAAGTACGTATTAAGTGCGTAAAACTAAATATAATAATTATATTATTATGATTTAAGAAATTCTGGCATGAAATGAGATTGGCAGCTCGTAAATTAAAACCACTTTAGGTCCACTACATGTAGTAGGTACTTATTGATTATTGTGTAAGATAACAATGTGAGGTTTGCACGCAGACATGTTCAAGCGTTATGGGCCAGTGTTCATGGAGACGACGCCAGGTGGTGTCGCCGTGGTGTCGATAGCCGAGCGGACTGCTCTTGAGGCCGTACTGCGTTCGCCTGCTAAGAAACCTTACCGTCCGCCCACTGAGATCGTGCAAATGTACCGCAGAAGCAGACCAGACAGATACGCATCAACTGGACTCGTCAATGAGTGAGTCAAATTGCGTAGATTTTAACGACTATTCCACGTTTCAGACCGGAACACAAGAGGCTTGCTGGTCAGAACTGGGTAGGATATCGGAATCAACTTGTTTAGGCTCAAAATACAGTCAATTGGACTAGATTTTAACGACTATCCCACTTTTCAGACCGGAACACAAGAGGCTTGCTGGTCAGAACTGGGTAGGATATCGGAATCAACTTGTTTAGGCTCAAAATACAGTCAATTGGACTAGATTTTAACGACTATCCCACGTTTCAGACCGGAACACAAGAGGCTTGCTTGTCAGAGCTGGGTAGTATATCGGAATCAACTTGTTTAGGCTCAAAATACAGTCAATTGGACTAGACTTTAACGACTATCTCACGTTGCAGACCGGAACACAAGAGGCTTGCTGGTCAGAACTGGGTAGGATATCGGAATCAACTTGTTTAGGCTCAAAATACAGTCAATTGGACTAGACTTTAACGACTATCTCACGTTGCAGACCGAAACACAAGAGGCTTGCTTGTCAGAGCTGGGTAGTATATCGGAATCAACTTGTTTAGGCTCAAAATACCCCCTACCACCAGTAATAATTATGATTTAGGCGGTATTTTGTTAGGAAAAATAAGTATACAACAGAGGACATATTGCCTATAATAAAGTAAAATCAACGATTGTGATTTTTTTATGAACATTACAGTAAAATTTGTTTTTATTCGCTATATTGCATTTTTCTGTAGTTCATTCACTGATTTTGTCAAAAAAACTGCTAATCCTTTTTAAGAGTACTTACTGCTTTGTTTATTAAATTCATTAGTTGTTTTCAATATTTCGAGCTATATTTGACCTTCGCTTTAGACTTTGGCAGGCTATCCATGGCTTTTTTTTTTTTTTATTGGTTAGATGGGTGGACGAGCTCACAGCCCATCTTGTTTTAAGTTGTTTCTGGAGCCCATAGACATCCACAACGTAAATGCGCCACCCACCTTGAGATATAAGTTCTAAGGTCTCAAGTATAGTTACAACGGCTGCCCCACCCTTCAAACCGAAACGCATTACTGCTTCACAGCAGAAATAGGCAGGGTGGTGGTACCCATCCGCGCGGACTCACAAGAGGTCCTACCACCAGTAAAGATGTATAATATACATAATAGAATATGATACAGATAATTTCAAGTTTGAATTATATTATATTTTTTTCGCATAATAAAGCCGTGTTTCACAATCTAACTTCATTGTTTCGTTTTTTGCAGTTGTACTTGTGCAAAAATTCATAAGTGCTCGATATCTTAAAATCTTATTCATTCATCACAATAAACGTATGACCTCGAGACCAAACGAAAATTATGTACTTCTTGTGAGTATTCAAAGGAGGCCATAATGGTTTTTGACTGGCCTTTATATTTGCCGGTCACGTCTGTTACAGACATGGCTGCGCCATGTCCATGCCGCGACCGTGCCAATAGTTTTTATACTAATGCTAACTTGGTATTTCCTGTCTGGTCTTTGTAATAAATAGATCATAAAATGTTACCAATTCTAGGAAGGTTACTGAATAATTAATTTACAAAAATATATTGTAATACTTTAGTTAATATCTTTATGTAATAGCTAAGAATTAAGTGTTAATAGTTTGCAATGTATATTTTTAATTCGTTCGTTTTTAATTTTTTCTTGTTTTCGAATGACATATTCGAAATATGAAATGTACTTAAATGACGTGGAAATGTAATAGAATTTCTGAATACTGTAAGGGCGGAAAGAATTAAAAATGAAGAGTATTGAAAACAGGCACAAGATTTTAATAAAACTGCAACGCGGAGTCCTTGTCTATGAATAATACTTAACTGTTTGTGACTAATTTCATGATAAAAAACAAAATGTGTGCAATTCACACGTGGTAGAAGTGAAACCTTCCAAAATTAAAATACAATTATCCTAAACGTCTTAAGTATATGTAAAATTTTGTCATTAGTAAATAATTGTTAGGTAGCGCCCTCTGTGAATTGATATTTTAATTTCACGTATAATCCTAAATTAAAATTCACTACAAGAGCTTTTATACACACGTTAGTATTAAAAAATCTCACAGATGGCGCTGTATTAAATAGTAGGTATATTTCTGTCTCATTCTTTGCTGGCTTCATCCTACACATTTTTGTATTTGTGTCTCTTACCTGTCGTTTTTTCCGTTGCATCCGGTTTGAAATCACAACGATTCTAAAGAAGTTTTCACTTCAAAAATAAATTACTTTTAATGTTTGTAATAAACAACTTCATCTAACTATGTCTTGAAATAGCGAAATCGTTTGAACCTTCCAGGCAGGGAGAAAAATGGTACCACTTACGGCGCAACTTGACTACTGATCTAACGAGTCCACATACAATGCAAAATTTCCTTCCCCAATTGAACACCATCTCCGATGACTTCTTGGAGCTACTGAATACTTCTCGGCAGTCTGATGGCACAGTATACGCCTTCGAACAGCTGACAAACAGAATGGGTCTTGAATGTAAGTATTATTTACAGAAAAAATTGTGGAGGACAACTTAATTCATTGGAATGAAATATATTTTTAATACGCTTTTGTTAGCTTCAGATGTATGTATGTTAGTATGTAACGGAATCTTTGAACATGATTTTGACCCCCTTCAAAACGTCGGATTAACTCGAAATTTGGCATACTTATTAAGGACCGATGACAATTCAATACCTAAAACAAAAAAAATTGAAAAATGGAAATTCAACTAAAAAATGAAAACTAAATCTTTATTTAAAAAAACAACAAAAAAAAATACGCTTTTATATAAAATCCCACTAAAAAATAGAAAATAAATTTTAATAAATTTGAATTGAAAATAGTGTAAGAAAAAATGAATAAAATCATTTTTTACAATAGTAGAAAAAGCGTGGGATGCTTTTCAGGATATCATCATATTAATCCTTCTACTCATATCTGTTTATAACTTTTATAACTATTGATACCATGCATTTATTAAGATTTNTACGCTTTTATATAAAATCCCACTAAAAAATAGAAAATAAATTTTAATAAATTTGAATTGAAAATAGTGTAAGAAAAAATGAATAAAATCATTTTTTACAATAGTAGAAAAAGCGTGGGATGCTTTTCAGGATATCATCATATTAATCCTTCTACTCATATCTGTTTATAACTTTTATAACTATTGATACCATGCATTTATTAAGATTTATTTTCTATTTTTTAGTGGGATTTTCTGTAAAAGCGTATTTTTTTAGGTTTTTTAAACTATTATTCATTATGAAGCAGGAAGCGACTTTATAACTTTAATCTTTGTGACTATAAAACGTGACAGTTCTTTTTTTTGTTTTTTTTTTATTTATTTTTTCTGTAAATACACTAAAGTACACACACGCGACGCATTTTAAACACACATTGATGACACTAAGTATTATTTGCAATGCCCCGAGTTTCGACAAAAATACGAAACGAGGTTGATGAACCCGATAAGTTCTTTAATAAAATTCATGAATCGTCTTTATTCGTCACGCTTGAATGTGGTTCTTTTACTACATATCTTTATAACCTTCAGAATTAATATCGTCAGTGTTATAAGAACGAAAGATTAAGAAATATGTAAATGACATTTATATCGTTCTGACTCAAGGCTAAGGTCGACCCGTCTGTGTTGTAACTGCCGTTCCTAAACTGGGATATTCTTATCTCAACAAAAGCCCTGAAATATGACATTCGTAAAGACGACCACTAGATTAACATAATTATAGTGAACTTAACGGAAGACCTGTTTGTTGGCCTACTTTAACTAGGTTTACAAGATACACTCGAAATATGGGCTTTCAATGCTATCTATTTATTTATACGAAGATAACGCTGGTTTATTGGGATCGAACTTGACGCGTCATTAAATTTAAGCATAAATAGAGCGTCGTTAATTGGAACGGTGTGAATGAATTAATATTAATTATAGCCTTGAATTTAACGTTCATAGAACTATTGAGCGACCTCGGTCACGGACAAGGAAATTCTATCAGAAATATCACGTTTGTTGAAATTAGCGCCGCTTATATTGGGAACGGGTTCATTTTGTTTTTGCGCTCTTTTATGGAGACTACTAGCGACCCGCCCTCGCTTCGCTTCGGAAACATTAAAACACACATGAAACCAAAAAAATCAAATAATTTTTTTTTTTTTTAAACGTAGCCTATGTTCATTAGGGAGAATGTCGGCTTCTAATGGAAAAAGAATTTTTCAAATCGGTCCAGTAGTTTCGGAGCCTATTCGAAACAAACAAACAAACAAATTTTTCCTCTTTATAATATTAGTATCGATTAGGATTATTATTGCCAAAATTGTGTAGGTGGATGTGCCGTTTATGAATATTTTATTCGCGAACTATTTAGACTATTTTATTTGAATTTACTTAGTCTGGCCATAAATACTGTTACAATTAAAAATAAACAAAATATTACGTTTGAATTTGGAATCTGTCATTTTTATATAATTGCTCATTGGGTTTTCTTATTTTGGCGCCAATACATTGCACAATATGTTGCGATATTAAAATGGAGTGGGGTGATAAAGAGAACCGAATCGCGGTGATTGCATTACACAAAGTAGGTATGGAGCCAAATGCAATTTTAAAAACTCTCCATACGTTTGGTATTAGTAAAATGTCTGTGTACCGAGCTATTAAAAGGTACAATGAGACTTCCTCTGTTTGTGACAGAAAAAGATCTGGCCGTCCACGTAGTGTTCGTACGAAAAAGGTGGTCAAAACAGTAAGGGAAAGAATTCGAAGAAATCCTGTCCGAAACCAAAAGTTTTTATCTCGGGAGATGAAGATAGCACCTAGAACCATGTCGCGTATTTTAAAAGATGACTTAGGACTTGCAGCCTATAAGAGACGTACTGGTTATTTCTTAACTGATAATTTAAAAGAGAATATGGTGGTAAAATCGAAACAACTACTGAAGCAAAGGGAGGTCATAGAAAAATTTTGTTTACGGATGAGAATTTTTTTACAATTGAGCAACATTTTAACAAACAAAATGACCGTATTTATGCTCAAAGCTCTAAGGAAGCTTCCCAATTAGTCGACAGAGTGGAACGTGGGCAGTTCAGTGATGGTTTGGTGGGGTATTAGCTACGAAGGAGTGACTGAGCCATACTTTTGTGAAAAAGGTATCAAAACATCGGCACAAGTGTATCAAGATACCATTCTTGAGAAGGTAGTGAAGCCCCTTAACAACGTCATGTTCAATAATCAAGAATGGTCCTTCCAGCAAGACTCGGCGCCAGGTCATAAAGCTCGGTCTACGCAGTCTTGGTTGGAAACGAACATTTCGGACTTCATTAGAGCTGAAGGCTGGCCGTCGTCTAGTCCCGATCTTAATTCGCTGGATTATGATTTATGGTCAGTTTTAGAGAGTACGGCTTGCTCTAAACGCCATGATAATTTGGAGTCCCTAAAACAATCCGTACAATTGGCAGTGAAGATTTTTCCCAGGGAAAGAGTGCGTGCTTCTATTGATAACTGGCCTCAACGTTTAAAGGACTGTATTGCAGCTAATGTAGACCACTTCGAATAAGCTTTTTATACTTTAAATTGTTTTATATTTATGTATTTAACTAACACACTGTAAAAGTAATAAATGTTATTTGCAATAGATTTTTTTTAATTTTTTATTGTAACAGTATTTATGGCCAGACTAAGTAGATATAGTTTTATTTTTATTAAAGTAAGCACAAACATAGTTTATTTCGTAACGCTTCAGTTATATGTGTTCGGCATGCGATATTATGTTCCAAAGACATACTGCCATTAATTATTTTGAATGAAAATTGAATGACGTCATCATTTCTGCCAAGCTGTCCATCAACAGTTATCAAAGCATAAGTTGCATACAAAGTGAATTTTATGAACATAGAAATGCGTTTATGATAATAATGAAGTACGGCATAAGATAAGAAAATGTGGGTCAGATAGTGTAGAGCATCGTTAGGCCGTCGCGCCCGCAGTTTGCAAGGAATGCAACATTAGAAACGCACTTTGAAATTGCCAACAAATGGAAATATAACGAGATATAATTAATATTCAGTTTTAATTCATTAATGAACTGAATTAAAGCACTTACATATTACATCAAAATCAAGATTATTTATGAAGTTTATGAATAAATTAAAAATCACTTATTTGATATGGAATCGTTTGAAAGTGTGTGTTATACTTAAAATATTCTAATTTCAAATCTGCGGAATATTTGTTTTCCGATATCATTTAATGTACATGTTTTATTTTTAATGCCATACACACGGTCGTTGTTTTGTTTATTCATATATGTACGTTTGTTTGTATTTTTATTAAAACAATGAGGAAGGATTACTCTTTAAGTTATCACATACGCTTTCCTCGTTATAGATTTAGTTGAAGTTGAATATTTTAATATTAATTTAAAATTTTCAGTTTAGATTTGTGAGATTATACAAGCCTTTTGTTCGCTTGTTTTAAAATTTGAATTGGCGGAACAAAGAGGTCGAATCTTAGTTAAGTTGAGTTTATTATATACTAGTTGACCCGGCAGACTTCGCAGTGCCTCAATCGAGAAATAAAAGACCTAAGCTTTTGCATAAAATAAATTTAAAACAAACAAAAATAATCCGTCCGACGCGGGACACATCAAGGGGAAAACAGAATTGTTTTTTTTTTCCATAGAATTTTTTTTTCAAAATTGTTATTATTTTTATTTCATAGATATTTTTTTTCATGTTAGAGCATTTTCATATTTATCTACTTTTTAAACCTTCTCTGGACTTCCACAAATAATTCAAGACCAAAATCAGCCAAATCGGTCCAGCCGTTCTCGAGTTTTAGCGAGACTAACGAACAGCAATTCATTTTTATATATATTTAGATATATTTGTGGTTGAATAAAAAATACAAATTGACTCTGATCGAATATATCCGAATTGTTTATTAAATAGAACTAGAGGTCCCGCAGTAGTCGAAATTCGACTATAATTTGTACACTATTATGATTGTATTTTATACTTCTATAATCACAAATTTCGCCAAGACTACACTATAAAAAATATTAACAAAGGCAAACAATATTTAATTTATTCTCAATTTGACAACAGACGCCAAGAACAAAAGTTTGACAATAAATAGTTTGCATGCGTGTGTGCGTCAAATACAAAATGTAGTGTGTGTAATGTTTTCTTTATCGATTTAATGTATCTTTTATGCATTATTTAAAAAAAAATTAGCATTGTGCACTTCTTCTCTATATTCTCTATAAGTGTGAAAAATTTCATACTCCTCCGTCCGCGCAATTTTCGTAAAAAGGGATACAAAGTTTTTGCTTCACGTATTAATATATAGATTATTAAATAGAACGAGCAAAATCGTCTGAAAGCCATATGAGAGCATGCGAAAACGAACAAGGGCGTATGTCGCAGTAACGATCAATGTTAATTTAATGCAACATGTCTAGACATTCCCAAATGGAATTTAGGGAGTGACGCGGAAAGGGGCTAATAAACAACACGATGGAGGGTGTATGCTTTGCCGACAGCGTTTTATGTTTACGAGGGGGTTTGATGCTCTGTTCAATAAAAGTCTGGCGAAATATTTTTTAATAATAGTCTGGGCTTTTTTTTTTTACAGACAGACATTCATGCAGCTTGCAAGCTTACTTTTAGGCAACTATACGTAGGCAATGCCATTTATTTTTTTATGTTTGCATAATAGTCATATACACAGTTCACGTTGCTTATGGATACGGATAATACGCAATTTTGTATATGCAAAATATTGTCCTCACAAGTTTGATCTCGATTTAAATAAAATAAAATTTTAAATGTAACAATAAAAACAAATCTACTACATTTAAAGTACTAACTAAAACGCGAAAAATTATAAGAAATTTTGCTCTTGTTCTTCATACCGTTATTCCACTATATGGGTACAGCGCAGTATATTCTTTTTTTCACTATCAAATCATGGCGCATAGTGATTTGGCCACATTTTTAAGACAGGGTTCCTGCTTGACATCGACCTTCCTTGGGAATGCTATCGTTGGCCTAAGAAGAGAAAAATACTTAATCGCCTTTTACGACACCCTCGGGAAGATATGTGTCGGTCCAATTATATTATAATATAAATGTTATTTTAATGTTCAAAAAGACATTGCCGAAGGAGAAATGTTTAAAATACACGCAAATGCTTTATTCCTTTTTTTCGTGGATTTGTTCCTTTTACAGTTAAGACGAATCTTATAAGTTGAAATTCGTCAAAAACGCGTAAGTCGTGCTAAATAACTAGACGATTATTAATCATTACCCGATGAGGGCAGTCTCGGATAAAAGAGCATTTCTTTCATTCTAAACATTTTTGTAGGTTATTTTTGTTTATTTCAAAAACACTGTGTGTTTTCTGCAAGTGCAATAAATACTTTTTTATACAGCGGTATGCGGTCTGATGCTGGGTTCAAGACTTGGGTTTCTCGAGCGATGGATGTCGGGACGTGCAATGGCTCTGGCTGCTGCTGTCAAGAATCACTTTCGAGCACAGAGGGACTCTTATTACGGTGCTCCGCTTTGGAAATTTGCTCCTACAGCGCTCTACAAGACATTCGTTAAAAGCGAGGAAACTATACACGCGTAAGTGTCAAGAGTTAGTGTTTTTTTTATGATTGTAGGAAGGTTGGTAGGCCGATGGTAGGCAGCAGCTTGGTTGGTAGGCAGTGGCTTGACTCTGCCCCTGGCACTCCTGAAGTCCATTGGCGACGGTAACCACTCACCATCAGGTGGGCCGTATGCTCGTCTGCCTACAAGGGCAATAAAAAAAAATCTCAATAATGTAATTACTAGTGGTAGGGCCTCTTCTCTAGTCTGTACGGGTAGGTACCACCACCCTGCCCGTTTCTGCCGTGAAGCAGTAATGCGTTTCGGTTTGTAGGATGGAGCAGCCGTTGTAACTATACTGAGACCTTAGAACTTATATCTCAAGATGGGTGGCGCATTTACGTTGTGGATGTCTATGGGCTCCAGTAACCACTTAACACAAGGTGAGCTGTGAGCTCGTCCACCCATCTAAGCAATAAATTAAAAAAAGTCCATTCAGAACATTGTTAATGGAGAGTAAGCACATGATGCACACGGCACTTCTTAATTACATCTGACATTTCCATTGTAAGCGATAAGAGCTCCTGTATTTACGGATAGGCTGATCTACCACCGCTCTAGAGCAATTAGGTATACGCGAGTAACTCATTAACGACATCGCAATGGAACGCCAATAGGCTTTTATATAAAGACTTATATAACCCAATATCAAATAGCGCGTCCACCCATCTAAGTAATAAAAAAAAGTACACTGTGGTCTGCGGTTTTGGAGTTTTAAAAACATTATTGCTCACGTCACGTATATAATGTCAATTGATTGCATAGAGGTGACACTGTGTGAATGTAATGTATTTCTTTTTTCTCATCTATATTGCATCCTATCCTTTACTCTTAGTAGATCCGTTGGATCGGTATGCATGTTGCATCAATTTTGTAATTTGATTAACTTTTTAATGGCCGATTGATGGGCCTAGTATTAGTAAACCAGGATAGGAGTTAATAGAACGATTGGGTTAGTTAATAAAGTAAGGATACGACTTCTATTGGGTGGTATATAGTAGTAATTAATGGCAGCCTGGAGATGTAGTCCAACTTGAGACGTACTTTTTAATCTTAATCTTGTTGGTGCTTTTTAAAATGAATTTTCAAAATTCGATGAATCCAAATTATGAATACTAAAAATTCACTTCAAAAGTCCTAAAGTTAAAAACGAAACCGCTTCGTTTTTGAACATTGGTTTCGGTTGCTAAGCGCTAAAAAGGCAGACATTGTACGTATGTTACTTCTTCAATTTAACATGATTATTTATTTATATGTTTGGTTAGCACTAACATTGGACTGTTTGATCAGATTATATCTATTGCTTTTACTAAGAGTAGTAAATACGATTTGAAAGTTAAAAATTGCACATTATTTGCCTTTTTCTCGTGATAAATGCAAGCGAACTGTCGAATTTGAGTCATCTGATCAACTATGTTTGTTAACTGTTCGTTACATAATTTCTTGCCTCCGCAAGTAAGAGACATTGCATAAAACGAAAACCGTTGTTCCGGACAGGATAGTATCGGAGCTGATGGAGGAGGCAAAATCTAAAACCACTGGTATGGCCCAAGACGAGGCGATACAAGAGATTTTCCTCAAGATACTAGAAAACCCAGCACTGGACATGCGCGACAAGAAGGCTGCCATTATAGACTTCATAACTGCCGGTATTGAGACGGTAATTATTGTTGAATCGCTTTCTTGTCTTAAATATTGTGTGTCTTTATTAATATTTGTCTAAAGTGTAGTCTTGGCGAAATTGACAATAGAATCTTAATAGTGTAAAAAACTTCTAATCCCATTCTTTTTTTAATTGTCATGCATAATTTATTAATAAATATTCTAATAAAATTTCTTGTCGATTTTTTTTATTGATAGACGAACAATTTTATTGCATACTTTGTGTTAAGTCATTAGATCTCATAGACACGACAACGCGAAGGCCATCCTCCACCTTAATGTATGGTTCAAACACTCAATTTTATTGTTAAAAGATCGTTGCACTCTTCAAGCTAGGACGTATTACCGCTGTAATAATGCAAATTCGTAAATGTTACAGTACGATTTTTGTTACACGATGTTATTCCTTTACTTGTCCTAAAACGTTCGTGAACATCTTGTAACAAGGAATTTGTTCAGAAACATTGGCATAGACAATCAGACATCACTTAACTCTAACTTTAACGGGCACTCAGCTCAGCCCCTACCATTGGTGATCTCCATGAGCGACGGTAACCACTCACCATCGGGTGAGCCATATTCTTGTCTGCATAAAACGGCAATAAGAAAAAACCTAGATCACAGACTAGAGCACAGAGTGGTTTATCCTTTAGACCATGACGACAAACATTTTAATTTTAATCACCGAACATTGCCTATTTTACTGAAACTAGCGAATTTTGAATTTAACGAGGAGTTTCATCCTGTCCTTCCGTCCTGGGTCTCCGCGAAGCATTCGTTCAAGTTGAGTGCAGGTTTAAAGAGGAAGTTTGAAGAAGGAAATCATCAATTTCACATTTAGCTCTCTAGCTGGATAGGATCTTGAGAGCAAGAAACGCTCGAAGAGTTGTTCGTTAGCGTCTTAGATTGCTGATGATAATACCTATACCTATTTTTTAAAAGTTTTTTAAAAGCGGTTGCTTTGAATTCACAGCTAGCCAACAGTTTGGTGTTTCTTCTGTACCTACTGAGTGGTCGTCCAGATTGGCAAAGACAAATTAATTCAGAACTACCACCGTATACAATGCTTTGCTCTGAAGATTTGGCAGGAGCACCTTCGGTCAGAGCTGCGATCAATGAAGCTTTTAGACTATTGCCTACAGCTCCATTTCTTGCACGGCTCTTAGATTCACCGATGACGATTGGAGGACACAAGATCCCGCCTGGAGTAAGTTTTTTTTTGTATGAATAAAGGTTTGATCTTTATGGATATGGTGAGGTCCAAAAGCTCACGCGGCACGTGGCCTGGTAACTAGCAGATATAAACATCGCAACGTGAATACCGTCACCTTGAGGTATGAAGTTGTGGTGACTAAAAAGGCCATTACTACATTAAGGTTGAATGACTTCAACCTATTTGGAGGATGTCGAAAAAGAAAATAATTATTGACAGTAAACAGTGACAAAAATAGGAGAAGAAAAAATATGTAAAAAGGGTTTTATGAAACGGAGAGCAACATTAATATAAATACTAAATATTGTTGTTGTACTAAATGTTTAATTAAACAGGCCTTAAATGAAATGTCTTTAAAGTCGAAGTTTCAATTGTATTATATTCTTAAAATGAGATGTCCTATTGCTTACAATTAGTTATTATTAAACTAGTGTTTGCCCGATGATCGAAATTGTCGATCGAAACTTGTACTTGTTTTATTCCTATTTCTTTTTCTTTTTAAGCCCCAGCTTCTGTCTATGAGCAGGTTTTAGAGCAATCAGTGTATTATATTAAATTATTAAACATATTAAACTATAGGTGGTCATGATTCTTTTTGCCATTCCATTCTAAGGGATGTGCATTTCTATATCAAGTTAATCATTTTTTTAACTGTGGATATTGTTATTGTACAAACTCATACAAGTCGGCAGATATTACATTGCTGTTAGATAAAGATTTAATTTTGACATTTACGCTGTCACATCTATCTATGGATTGTGATGTAACGGCACACGTAACTTGGTACACCCAAATGACACATCTAAAAAGTTATCAAAGAGAGTCAATTAAAGTTGTTGTGATTTTCTTTTCTAGACGTTTGTGCTCGCCCATACGGCGGCGGCTTGTCGTAGAGAAGAAAACTTCTGGCGCGCGGAGGAATATCTTCCGGAGCGATGGATTAAAGTGCAGGAGCCGCACGCTTACTCGCTAGTGGCTCCATTCGGACGCGGACGCAGGATGTGTCCAGGGAAACGATTTGTAGAACTCGAACTACATTTGTTACTCGCAAAGGTGATTGTTTTTTTTTCCTACCTAATGATAGCCTAAGAGGCTATTATTTCAGATACGCCCGGACGGAGGTAGGTGAGCTCACGGGCTCAACCTGAAAGAATTTGCTAACACTAGCCTTAGCAAGAGCAGTGCTTCGCAGAGTTTATCACCGGATCGGAATCGCAATACACTGAGAAGATCCGGCAAGAAACTCAGTGGGCTGTGTCTATGGGTTAGTTCGCTTAGTTAGCGCATTCGATGGGTTAGTTAGAGCACGGTGACCGGTACTTGACGGTCCTAAAAGCACCGAGAGTGAATCCGACAAGACACTTTTCGGGCGATGGCTTTGCGTTGCTTCGTCGCGGTCGGATAAGTAATTAACGGCGGCCATAATAAGATAGTTTTCGTGTCGCGCCGCTCTGTTGTTCTCGTTAAATTGATATTACTTACAATGGTTACATGACTATTACTGGTGGTAGGACCTCTTGTGGGTCCGCGCTTAGGTACCACCGCCCTGCCTATTTCTGCCGTGAAGAAGTAATGCCTTTCGGTTTGAAGGGTGGGGCAGCCGTTGTAACTATACTGAGACCTTAGAACTCATATCTCAAGGTGGGTAGCGGCATTTACGTCGCAAATGTCCATGGACGTGAGCTCGTCCACATATCTAAGCAATAAAAAACGATCACAAAAAGACAATTGATCTTTACATTGACATAAGCTGTGTTTATTTTTTCCCTGGAAGTTCCTGGAGGAAGAGTACTCTGTATTCCAGTAATTCAAAGACATCTCGATTTATCAAAAGATTTTAACGAAATAACAAAAAAATAAATACAATTCCAAGATTATCTGAATACATAACAAACCCGTGTCCGAAATGTTTGAGACACAGCTTAGTGTTAAGAACAATTAAAGAATCTCTGTTTAGAGGATAGTGATTTCCCAAAGGCAAGACGGTGACAGCTCTGTTTAGAAATACATTATATAGAAATATCTATCAGAGACTGTAAAATAACTAGAAATTTAAAACCATATTGCCGTTTTCCATCATCGGACAAAAATATGTTTGTTGCTACTTTTTTTTTTTCTCCCCAGATAATGCAAAAATGGAGAGTGGAGTTCGACGGTGAACTGGACGTACAATTCGACTTCCTGCTGTCAGCAAAATCACCAGTCACGTTGCGTTTGGTCGAGTGGTAACCATTTACCGTTATTCGTTTTCTTTCCTCAATATGACACAATATAACTTGGTTTGTCTCTTAAATTGCATTATTTGATGCTATTATTGTGTTAATTTAGAATCGATTTAACTGTATTTGGAGCTTTTGTAATGGATGTTACAGACAGCGCTACAAAGAAAGCGCTACAGATAAAACAGTAGGTACATAATTTACTGATCAATGTTCTGGGACCAATATTTTTTTGGAACGAAGTTCCTTATCGCGCGTTGTGAAAGGGGGCTAGACGGAAAAAAATCTTACGAAAAGTTGTCACGACACTTTTTAGATCCGTCATTCTGACCAATCAACGTGTAGGCGCTTATCGCGTGACATTGCTCGTATCCGATTGGTCCGCGTAATGAGTACAGTTTCTCTAGATAGCGTTTCAACAATAGTAATTTAGTTCATAGTATTGTTTTTTTCTTCTTCATAATGCCGTAATTTATTATTATAACTTAAAAAAAAAATTACAATTCCTTCACTAATTAATCGAAAGGAACTTCGTTCCATCCGGGTGTCCCTTGACACCTCTGAAGTTTTGTTGATTATTAATATTATAGGCAATTAATTCCTATAATATTCATAATCAGTATACATTCTGCGTATTTCATCAGTTGTTTCAAAGTTATTTGTATTACGTTAAGGATTGTATGAATATATAATTTTTCTATTAACTAAACCATCGTTGCCATGACAACCCGTTAGTCAGGGGAGGCGTTACAGGGTATCGGCAAATCTGCTCAAATAACGTTTTTCTTGTTACATTAGAACTGATATAATATATTGTAAGCCAAGAAACGTTTTTGTATTCATAGTTATATTTGTGTAGCAATACTGGGTTGGGCGTGCTTCGTTCAGAAAGAGTTGTCACCCTTCTGGCAATGGAATAATTGATATTAATAAATACATACTATGTAGTTTTTAGTACTATATGCATACATACTAAATACTATGTATTATGTAGTTTTCGTATTTGATAAATATATTAACAAACAAAATTCATAGCTATAACTTACGTCAACTCTTACTGAACAATAAATATAAAACTACTATTATAAACCATGGCTGTGTTTATATCAAAAATACATATTTTTAATATAAATTGTTATAACCATAAATACCTCTTGTTATAAGACTGCTTATTGCCAGCACTTGCATTTGTCAGAAATTTAATGTAATCCGTACAATTAGTTTACTTAATTTAAAGAAGTTGGATGACATTATATTCCAATAGATGTATTCGTTTTAAAGATATTTTCACGAGTCTTTCAATACTCATAGATCTCTTATGAATATGCCTTTATGCTTATTAGAAAAGTACAGAAGTGTTAATTAAAGTTTGTATAACTTCTTTTGAAATCGTCGATCATTCCATTGTATTTGCTAATTAATATTATTATTTTAGGTGTTAAAGATTTCAGCTTCAATGTTACTGTTTAAACGTCAGAAGTGGCCATTTTCCTATGTTAATTATGTTACTCGCCTTAGTTTAAAGCAATTCCTGAATTGTAGGAGAAGCAGTTTTGTAGTTACTCGTTTTGAGATTTCATATCGACGCTTGAAAGGCAAACGTGACTAAGCGACAAGTAACTGCTTTGTACATAAATGATAAGCAATAACCATATTCGATGCGCAAAACAAAATATATTTCTAGGTCTATTAAAATCATTTCAATCCTACAACTAGATTCGTTAAAATAGAATTTTTTCAGGTATTTCAACTTTAAATTAGTCTACTGTAAAGTTCACGTATTGTCGCTTATTCACGTTTGCCTTTCAAGCGTCGAATTATGCATTGCCCCTAGAAAGTTTCTAGGTACTTATTGTCTAGTATTTTCTTTGATTTTCGCCAGCCGCAGACCTTAATGTTTTCGTATTTCAGATTAAACCGTAAAATGAGTTTTAAATATAGTTATTGTCTATTGAAAACATGAACAATTTCGAGGAACAAACCGATAGAGTTTAAGTCTTGTGTCGTCCCTACAATTGAACTTGCGAACAGGATTAGAATCATCACACGTGTGAACCTTAATGAACAAGAAATTAAAATTTGTAATTTATTTGTCATGTCTAATTATATCGCAGTGCACACCAAGCTATAAGCAATTAGTTAATTCTTCAAACCTTAGATACCTATCTGTTGTTCTTAATTGCGATACAGATTTCATAATATTCCCTCACAGTACCTATGCGGGAAATGAATTCACTCTAGACAATGTTCATGTGGGCCATTGTCTATTTTATCTGCATTAGATGCCATAAGACTGTATAGCAAGTGTGTATCCTACAATTTCGGTACTGAATTATTTTATTGTTTAAAAAAGTACATAATGTATTATTTTAAGTTAAATAGGCACTATAGTGACTGCGTTTTGTTAGTTTTTTTTTTTATGTTTGAAAATATAATATTTTTGTTAATTGATTTACGTGTATTTTTATAAGATATTGTTTTCAAATAACATAAACGTGAAACTAGTAATAAAGCTCATTAAGGTATAGCAAGGTAATTTTATTCTACTCCTAATATCTAATTATTTGTTTGAAGTAAAAAGTTTTTAAGAAAAACATTAAATGAATAATTTAATAATTATCTATATATAAATTTCCGTCATATAAATTAAGTTAATCATAATTAAAAGTAATCCAAGAGATCGCTTTTAAAATTAATCGATGAAGTGGTTGAATTTTAGTATTAGATCTTACTAGATCTAGATCTAGAGACTAGATTTTAGTACTAGGTAGGTATATATACTACCTATTTAAAATTTCTTCATTCAGACGGCAGTGCTCTGAAACAACGACTATTTAAATGTAATAATTTGTTTCTTATTTTGGGTACTGGTTTATTAAAAATAATTGAATTTTGTGTTCATTGCAATTTGATACATAATAAAAAAATATGCGTTTAAGCCTTAAAGAGGCTTTAACATCATTATAATAATGGTTAACTTTTTTGGCGAGAATGGTTTACAAAGAAAAGATAGATTTATGTTGTCACGGGTTTTTTTGTAAGACTATTTCAGATAAACATTTCCATTTTACATTAAAGACGTGTAACTCCAACGGTTTTTACGGCGCACGTCAGAATAGCTCGCAGATGGCAGATTTTTTTCCTTTTTACTTGACACATATCGTTATATTTTGGGTAATTCACACTATATTTTTATAAATTATAGTCTATGTGTTATTCTGATGCGTAAGCTTAGTGTCATATTTATTTATATTGAATCTACAGCCATATCCCATACAAATTTTCACCCCCCCCCGCTTTCAACCCTTTACAACCTTTTTTTCGCATGAAAAAGTAGCATAATAATATGTCCTTTCCCAGGGTCTAGACTTTCTGTGTAACAAATTTCATTTAAATCGGTTCAGTATTTTTCCAGACAGACAGCCAACACAGAGTTACTTTCGCATTTATAATATTAATAATAAGTATTTTTTCCCTACCTATGCTGATACCTTGAGAAGCTATTTCAGCTTCTCCTTGACGTGTAGGTGAGCTCAAGGGGCTCAAACCGGGAGTGTTGCTAAGACTGGCCCTAGTCCTAGCAAGAGCAGTGCTTCGCACAATCTACCATCGGATCGGAAACGCGACCAACGGCGGATCCAGGGTCATGACCCCCCCCCCTGAGCTAGTTCCAGGACTTGAACTAACTTGGACTAATTGAAGAACATCATGATTTATTTATTATCTATTGTTATCAAAATTAAATTATAAGTTCTTAACTTGCCCACGACTATGTGACCCCCTCCTGGCGCCAAAGCTGGATCCGCCCTTGAACGCGACCCACTGAGAAGATCCGACGAGAAGCTCAGTGGGCTGTGTCTATGGGTTAGCTTAGGTACTCGTCGAGCCCTTGGTTGCAAGCGACGGGTTCGGCGAGAACGGTGACCGATAATAAGTAAAGTAAGTAATAGTAAGTATGGATGGTTAATTCATTTCAGTTTCTTTTCTTTTTCGTTTCCTTTTAAACTTATATTGTTTAAATATTCATATGTATTTGTTACTCTAAACATATTTCTATAATACCTATAACACCCAACCAGTTTTTATATGAAATAAGTTATTTCCGTACCAGAAAGATACCATTTTAGGCAATTACACCATACATTGCTAGGTATCTTTGATTTATGTTAACAGTGTGCGATAAAGAGTTTTCTGTTTTCCTATTCTGTACAATTACTGCTAATAGGTTCGCACGTCAGCAGGCGTTGGATTTAAACTCAAGCGCCAAAACAATTCTAACCTAAGTAACGTTCAGAAACTGACTGCAATCTTATCAGTTAACCTAAAATTATATTTTTGAAGTTTTACATAAAAAATAACAAAATGCAGTATCATCTGAGGTGTCGGTTAATTGCAATGTGGTGAGATAAGATATTTTATGATATTTGTTCACACGTACCCAACAATAAAAACTGTGAACTAAAGTTGAGTCAATCATTTCTGATCTTACTTTATTGTAAACGGTTCTACTTCATATACTATACGTATATAAATAATTGAATTTACATAGTTAACCTCTTACAGTCGAGAAAAGAGATCGTATAAAATTTTATTATAATGAAATTCTGTGCTAATCTGTCTTTTATGTTTGCTGAAGCTTCTTCCATTTTGGAACGATATGCTTTGGCTAAAGACGCTGGATTTAAGGCTGTAGAATCGGGTTTCCCTTTTGGTTTTAGTTTAGAACAAGTAAGAAATGCAAAACAAAGCGCCGGCTTACAACAAATCGCGATTAACTTAAAAACAGGTGAGTAGGTATTCAGTTAACATTATTTTCATATTATGCTACAATATATTTACAGAACAGAAAATGGGGACGTAAAACTTATTTTCGCTTTTGTTATTGTTTTTTTTTAATTGACGAATAGTTATATTTGGTGGAAGCATAAGGCCAGATCTACTTGTATTAAAAATCACCTTGATTCGGATTTGTATGTTTTTTTATGAATTCTTTTTAAAGATATTTTCCTATACTAGTTCTTAATTCATATTGTGGAATGACCATTTCATTACTTGCGAGTGGCGGTACGATGGTAGGGCGGTTGTAAGTTTGCAAAGCTAGGCAGCGGTTTCCTGCTTATTTCTCCCGCGAGTACTCATGGGTTACATTTTGATGGATTGGACAGCCATTATTCAATAAGATTGAGACTTGGAGCTCGTATCTCAAGCGGGTTATGTGTCTCCTACGGCTACGGAAATACTTCCAGACCTTGACTTCTAGGATCTTTCCTAACATTTCGTACGAAAGTGGACCGTGAGTTCGTCTCTGCCCACAGCATTAACAAAATCCATTATAATAAAATGTTTTTAAAATGCTATCTTTAAAATCATAAAGTGTAGTTCCAATTGAGAACAGATCTTAACAAGGGACCGACAATTACCGAAATTAAAAAAAGAAAATCGATGAAATTGTAAAACTATGTGCTGATTTGTCTCTAATAAATTTTCTCAAAATATAGATAGGTTTTAAAGGTCACCGCTTTAACAAGTTTTATCTATTGTAAGTTGAATGATCTGCCACAATATTTGTTAATAAAATTGAGTTATAGCATAGCTAGAGCAGAATTACTGGTAGCGAGTTTTGTTATCTTGTAAGCACTATTTTGCTTATTTCTGCCGATTTTAGGGTTCAGGAAGTCCTCATATAGACTTTTGCAAAGTGATGAAATTCATTTTACGATGTCTTCATATACTTATGCTCCAGTTACCAATTAACACTAAGTGGGTCTTACGTGTGTTTGTACATCTAGAGGTACCTATTTTAAAATAACATTTAATTATCCTATTGATCATATTTTGTTTCTATCATCAATCCGATAACCTTAGCCGCTTAATATTGGTGTTTTCAGCATCACATTATTTATCTGTATGGCTATATCAATAGTTTAATTAAAAATACCGTATCGCATTTATAGGAGACACGACCAAAGGTGAAGTTGGCGTAACTTCTGTTCCGGGTAAAGAAGACGAATTTAAAACAAATTTGAATACGACAATCGAATATGCGAAGGCCTTGGACGCGAAAAAAATTCACATAATGGCTGGCAAAGTGGAAAATCCAACTCCGAAACATTGGGAGACGTTTGAGAAAAACTTGCTATATGCTGTTGACGTCCTAAAAGGAGAGAATATCCAAGGACTAATCGAACCAATCAACCAGTATTCTATGCCCAAATATTTCTTGAGTGATTATGGAAGAGGTGATCTTTGTTTTTTTTTCTTAACCAATAGATAAGATTTATTGATTGTCGAGATAGCAAGAGACAACAGGTTCGATTGCAATGTGCGATACGATTTTTCCTTAACATTATACAACTTGTAATCATATGAGCGCGAAATTACCTACTTCGATTTCATGATTGATTTGAGTAGATTCAAATGTAATTGTATTCTTCTTGCTATGATTTAATTATGTTTTATTTTAGCTGTGGACATTATTAAACGTATTGACAGTCCAAATTTGAGATTGATGTTGGACATTTTCCATCTTCAGCAAATCGCCGGCGACATTACTCATAATATTACGAAACTATTGCCGTACATTGGACACGTGCAAGTAAGTGGTTTAGTACTAACAATGGTAAAGGCACTTAAATGGAATCAACTTTATTCCTATAGTTATTGGGTTCATTTAGCTTCAGCGACGGTTCTAAAGATATGCTAAGCTTAATGGTTTTGATACCCACTTCGATAAAGCGGCACGACACGAGAACCCTCTCATCGTGGCCGCCGGTAACTACATTCCCGATTCTGCGGACAGAATGGAAAGCAGTCGACGTCGCCCCAAACACGTCTTTTCGGATCCTCTCGATCCACTAACGGTGCTTTTAGGTACCTCAAGCACCGGTCATCGTTCTCGTCGAACCCGTCGCTTGCGACGAAGGGCTCGACGAGTAAATTAACCCTCAGACACAGCCCACTGAGTTTCTCGCCGGATCTTCTCAGTGGGTCGCGTTTCCGATCCGGTGATAGATTTTGCGAAGCACGGCTCTTCAGGATTCGTGTTAGCAACTTCATCAGTTTTGAGCCCCGTGAGCTCACCTACTAGTTAAGGCGACGCTCATATAGCCTCTCAGGGCTATCAGCTTAAGTAGGAAAAAAAAAGTTTTGATATCGCCATCTGTAGTCGCGGCCAGTACCTATCCAGAGTGTGCGGGAACCGTCCCTAAAATCCAAAGGATTCAAGTACTACTACTATCTGAATGTAAAATAACAACAATATTTGTTTTCTAGAAGTCCTAGTGGCTCGACGGATAAGACGTAGATGTAGTCGTATGAAGCCGTGCGCGGTGTACAAGTCGTAAGCAAGTCGAAATACGTATATAACGCATCACGAATTCCTAGCATGTAGAAATAAAATCGCGTAAAAGTTAAAATCAAACCTGAAAAAATGTAATTGACGTTATAACTCCTTGTAGAGTATTGTAATCTCGTACGGATAGGTGCCGCTAACTGCCCCTTTTCTGCCGCGAAGCAATGTTATTTTGAACAGACGTTACACTATGCGACCAAAACTTACGACATTAAGCTTTAAATTCATGACAGTTTTAATGGTAACAGCTATGCGCTTTAATAAGCGTTCAACATCATGTGGTCCGTGAGCTCGATCTTAATAAAAATAATTGTGAACTTGGTATGTACTGAAAGCGACGGTACCTAGCAATCGGCCCTATCCTACTACGGCACTAAAAGTACATTGACCCGTGCATCAGCTGATATTTATTGTGTTAGATTAAGTGCTGTACATAAAAATTAAAAGATTTTTCTATTTTATTTTTATCTTAATAATTTGTTTAATATCGGATAGGTATACTTACTTTGCTCAAATGAGTAAAATTTCATTCTTATAATCTAGTCTTAAATTGAAATTAAAATACGTAAGTTTGTTCTTACCACTTAGTTCATTTAATTCCACTAAGTCTGATATGAATATTATTAAACTCATCAAAAGCATCATCATAAAGACAACAGCCAGTTAATACCAAAAATTTTTAGGGGAACTTATTGTCTTAACTGATGTATTTACAGAGGTTTAATATCATTATGAAAGTCATTTTTAAACCACTTTATCTACGTACAACGAAATGAGAATTAAAATTAATTCGTTGAACATTCAAAACTAGTACTCAGGTTGCTAATTCTTAAAGCTGTTTTAGAAATAAACTTGATATAATAATACGCGATAATAAAGTCACCTTAATATAATTTTAGGTAGATAGTGTATTCTTGCATGCATGGGTGGCGTAAATATTTTTTTTAATTTCCTTTACATTGAATTTACTTTTTTAAATTAGTGATTAAATAGGATATGCAATTTAGTACAATTTTATTGTCATTACAAACAATCTGTATATTTTATTGTTATGTAAATCTATTATACCTATTTCAACTAAAAATTCGGATTTAATAAAAATACCAGCAAAACTAACGAAATTTCGTTCCATTTTAAGTACATTAACTACCTATTATTTATTTCAACATTGTCGCAAATGTACTCTACAAGCCTACACAAAAATTTTTTTTTTTGCACGTAATAATTAAGCATAGTAAATTTTCTTTTTTTTTTTAAATTAAGTACCTTAGGCAGACCAGCTCATAGTCCACCTAATGTTAAGTGGTCACCAATCTATAGTTGAACACAACTTGCAAGTGCTCATTGTGAGATAGAATAGAAATTGACCGCTGTAATATTCGTATCGTTTTGTGTTCTATTACATTACGGCATTATGAATGTCTTATTTTTAATTACAGATAGCTCAGGTTCCGAATCGTAACGAACCGGATACGCACGGAGAGATAAACTACAAGTACGTTCTAGAACACTTGGCTAAGAGTGGATACGATGAATGGGTTGGACTCGAATATAAAGCCATCGGAAACACGAAGGATGGTTTGACTTGGATCAACAATTATGGTTACAGTCTTTGATTTTGTTATCTCTTTTTAAATATTGATTGAATATATTCACTTTATAACAATATTATTATATTATTTCATATGTTATTTACGTGCTGAGAAATCGATGCCTTGATGGGTCACGCATTGAGGAAACGATTTTCAGTTTTATTCTTACAAAATTCCCTTGTTCAATCTTAGATTCTTAAAATATAATACAATAATATTGTGGAGTAAATGTTGAACTTTGATATTTATGTCGTATTGCATTTGTTTTTTGTTTGTTAAGCTTGTTCAATAAAAATATATTTTGTTAACAATAATTTATGTGGTTTGGTTTGGAAATAACTTTTAATGCAATAAAGTACCATTTATTTAAGGCACCTCAATTTGGTTGATATTTTTAAGAGTAAATATGTAGTCATTTCGTATTTTTAGGTACCAATTTTTTTATCTATTCATTCAAAAAGGTTAATAAAATGTGGAACTTTTAAAAACAAAATAACTCCTTAAATATGCTAATTTATTATAATAATATACATAATAGTAAATTAAAAAAAATTATTGCTAATTAATAATACTATACTGTCTGAAATTGTTGGACCCAATAATGTTTTTTTACTCCTTCAAGGGACAATCTATCTTTACTCGAGTGTCTTAAAAGCTGTAAATAAAAAAATACATTCAGTAAACACTTCTGTTTAAATGTTATCAATATTTGAAGAGATAGTTGAGGTCAAAAGTTCCAATACAAAAATAGCAGTGTATTTTTTGACATATTTGACTTATAAATTACTCCAGGGTCAACTTTGTTCATGTACACATAGATTAGTTTAACTTGTTGGATTGACAGATAAGCTCACAGATTCACTCAGTATTAAGCAGTCACGGAAACAGTGTGAATGCCTTCATATTTTGTAATAAAGTCCGTTTTTCAAAATGGATGGCATGAATTCTTTACAGTAGCGGAATGCTAGTGCATACAGTAAACAATTTTGTAGTTTTAGAGAAACCATCCGTAAGTCTGAACAGGATATAATTAGTATTTGAATGTGAAAGAAATAATTGGATTAAAGGGGTTGTACTATAAAAAGTGAGACTATGAATGGTGACAGTAATGCAGAATTTTCCCATGTTAATCATTACAATATTCACTTACATGCCCATTTTTAAAACTGCTACAAATATCTGCATAAGTAGATAAGATAAGATAAGATTCTATTATTGTATATTGAAAAAAATATTTCATTGCATGTAATGTAAAAATCTTTGTAAAAAGAAAAAACTTGGAAAAATATTGAATTTTTTAAATATTGTGTATATGACCTATCAGTTCTGTCTGTTTACCCATTTTCATCTTCAAGAACAGGTTACTTTTACTTTACCTAACTATTTAAATATGTATATCAGAAAAAGGTTTGTTTATATCATTTGATCTATAATTTTATGATGTTTCTAATATTTCTATAGGACACAGTTACTATAACACTATAACAGAACATAGAAGTGTTTTAAGTTACCTTAAACACCAGATTTAAGAAAATTATAATTGAACTAAATATTAAATTTTTTACAATTTTAATTACCTTTGAGATCAAATCCTTGGCTCCATCAGGTATATGACTTGGGTATACAATATCGAGACTCAATATTCTTGCATATGTCTTGTCTTCACCTTCAGTTTCAAATGGAGGCTTTCCCACTAGAAACTCATACAGCAACACCCCTATGCACCAGTGGTCAACAGACACATCATATACTTCACGTTTTATCATTTCTGGTGGCAGATAATCAAGGGTTCCACACATCGTTTTACGTCTGTGAAGATAAATTTAAATTTTTATAACCAGTGAATTTTATTCGAATATTATACACACTATTATTTAATGGGTTTTTATTTATGGTAATAAGACATACTGCACAGGGTCACAGGAATGTACCTGTTATCTGGCGCTTCGATTGCGCCGAAATTTCAGAAACTTATTAAATAATACAATAACCAGTAAGTAGTAAGGACAATAATTTTTTACACAATGTGCCTCTCGGCAAGAGTTTAGAACAATTTATTGGCTTAAGGTGAGTATGCAACATATAGCCTTCAGTAATTTTGAACCTGCACTCCAAAATGCACTAAAGTATGGTTAAGATGAGGATTGATTTTTTTTCTGTTGAATGATTAGAATAATGTTAGCATTAATTAATGATAGTTGAATGTCTATGATAAACATTTACTAATTTATGCTTTAAGCCTAGTATCTGATAAATATGGAGAAGTAAACTCTAAATATTTAAACTAATGTCAAATACCTTTCAGATGGAGCATGGACTGACCAACCAAAGTCAGCAAGTTTAAGATCTCCACTAAAAGCCACCAGAATATTTTCTGGTTTTATGTCACGATGTATTACATGATGTTGGTGACAGTATTCAACAGCATCAGCTACCTGAAGATTGAGATACGATTGCTCGACGCGAATACTTCAACTAAGAATTTGGTATTTTTGGAAAGAAGGCAAATTTGATGATGAGCATAGTATACTGTGAAAGAATACTATATTTTTGCACTGTACTGACTGACTACTACTTTGAAATGTAATGTTTGCTGAAAAGTGAAGCCACAATATAATAAATAAGTAAAAAAAAATTGTCTACTATTAACACTCTGTCATGCCTTTTTTTAATGGAGGACAAAATACATGTTTTAGAAGTACGCATTGGCTTGACTTTTGTATAGAATTGCTGGGTTTACCATGAGTAGCTATAGCGATAAATCACTAAAAGATTCCCAAAAAACCCTTTTCTCTATTACAAATAAAAGTACTACTTCAACTATTTATATTTGGCATGAAGTAGATTACAAAGTACTTGTTGCAATTACACCTAGTATTCTTTTATTGTAGACATTAATACTATATCTTCAACTTTGAAATTATTAGCAGTTGACACATTGGAAAATAAAATTGTTTTAATTATAGTATTTGTCCAGAAGATTCCAAGCGATTCAAATCTTTGTGTAGCCTTTTTTAAAATGTTTGTAAGAAATTTTTTACTAAGAATATTCATTGAGCGATATGAAGCAATTCTTAACAATTTCTATCAAATAGTCAGACAGTATGAGTTATATGAGTCGACTATTATCAAAGCCGGCAATGTGACTTTTGGACAATTATTGGTAAATCAGAAAAACGAATTATTGAGTTGGCAGTGACAAAACTCTTCTGAACGACATCTTAGATAAATAACAGGTTAAGTATTAACCTTTATTTAATTCAGGTTTTGAACCGTATTCTTTGAAGGAGACGATTATATTCAAATCAATCTGTATTGACATATCAAGAACATTTTTTTGTCCAAATGCACAGATTGCCACCTTTGATAATAGACAACTCATATCATGTTATGAATAATAATATCATAGTCATTAAAAAAAGAACCTGGTATATGTATCTTGCTGCTTTACTTTCTGGAAAACGTCCTTGGGGTGAATTTGTGAGATGTTTGTACAGTTCTCCACCAGCTGCAAATTCTACAACCAGATATATGCGTCTCTCATCATGAAACCACGTCAGCAGTCGAAGTATGTTTGAGTGTCTACAAGTATAAGTCCACAATTAATAAACCAACTGAGACAATATTCACTTTCAAATTATCCACTAAAAGTGAGCAACTCTATAATTCGGTGTATTGTATATTATATTACAACAGAAAATAATGAGAAACTTCAAGGACTACAGATATGGGATGTGTGTTAAATTGGATGAACAGAATTATTTTCTAATTATGTAGCAAGATTTACTGCGCATTCAGAGGAATCTTAGTTTGTTGAAAATTCTTACTTACTTCAAATGTGACTGAATTTCAATTTCTCGCATAACTTGTCGTTCACATTTCGATTTCACGATTTGAGATTTGAACAAAGTCTTAATGGCAACAAGGAATCCAGTTTTTTTCTCTCTAGCTACGTGAACATGTCCGAATTTGCCTTGGCCTAGTGAAGATCCGAGCTCAAAATCTCTTGGAGACCACTTGTACCTGTAATTTAATAATTCAAATATGTTATTAAGGCCAAAGTATGAGAATAAAAGCTAGAACTGTTCTTATTGCTTACGAAGATCCGTAGGCATCATGGTTTATTATTTTTGTTTCAAGTTCGAGCACTTCGCTCTTCATTGTCATAATCTTAACACAAAAATAGACAAAAATCAATTAAACAATCAAATGGTGTATTCTGTTTTACACAAATATAACTTTTATTAGCTTGCTACTTTTTCAAAGATCTAAGAGCTGCAGTCCGTTAAATCCTAATTTCAAACTTCTGTCAAACAAAACACTATTTTCAAATTTTGTTTTTTTACTGCCTTGATTCTTACTCTTTTTAGCCAAATCTTTTTGAACATGTATTATTTTTCACGTAAAGGAAAAAAAGCTGTGTTTCGAAGTGGATTGGAGAGAAATGAAATGAAGTGGATTTAAAGTAATTAAATATAACATGTAGTCGAATGAAATGAAATAGAAGGTGAAATAATGTTTCAGTAAAATGACGGGAATTTAATGCGATTTTAGAACCGAGAAGCCTTTTTTTGTTAAATTATACTGTCGTGATGAAACAGATCATCAAAAATTTTCACGACTACTCTAATTAAGATAGTGTCTACCTGAGACTTATAACTCAAAAAATCCTAGGGGGTCAAAATATCTTCTCAGCACATCTGAGATATAGAATTTAGTAAAGAGGCGATTTCTATTGCATTTATAGAGCTTGCTTGCGTTTTTTAGTGCAAAAGGCAGATCTTCCTTTGTAGAGTACTTTCCTATAAACTGCCTAGTTAGAGCCAACAAAACTTTGTTTTCAGACGACATTCGGTTCCATCTAGTCCTACGTCATGGTTAGTGAGTCTTATCACGTGACGACCTAATGACCATCACAGAGTTTTCAGGAAGTTACAAATTTCCCGACTGCTCTACAATATTTGAACTGCAAGCATTACATTTGAGCTCTGTCTCGATTTACCGCAAACGCAACACGTGGACGACTGAGAAGGACAGTGGAGTGACTAAATGTTAATGCAAGCAACCGTTAATTATTTTTTTTGTTTTTTGAAATAATTCCTTTATCAAATGAGAAATGCAGTGGGCCGAATCCTTTTATATTAATTGTTTTCCTCTAAAATATTTTTTAATGTTGCCACTGATTCTTCAGTACCTACAAAGGACTGTGTAGTTGTATCTACCGGCGAATAGAATAATCTGATAACGCCTGAACGATGCTTACAATTTACACAATCACAATTTTATGAGATCTCACATTTGAACAACGACAGTGGAAAATCTTCTATTTGGGTTCAGAAACGAAAATAGCTGCAGGTGTTGTGGAGTTGACAGCCAGTGTCATTATACTTACATAATAGAAGCACTAGAAGTTTGTCAGTGTTTGTTAAATTCGTTGACAGGAAAGTTATTAGACAATAAAATTATTAAATTTTCAAAGACATGGTATAAGTGTATTTGATTTCTTTGAAAAAAAAAAAGGTTTTATGTATTTAAATATCTAATTAGAATAAAAAATTATGAAATATGTCTTTCTACGTCGTCGTGGCATAAGACGCCCGGTGTATCGAGCGATGCGAATGTGCCGGTGTCTGATTTCGAATCCCGCAAACAGGTACTTATTTTTCTAATGAAATACGTACTTGACTAATGTTCACTAATGACTTGCACGGTGAAGGAATAACGACGTGTAATACAAAACAAACTCGCGTATTATAATTATTTGGTAGGCAGCGACTTGGGTTGCTGACGTCCATGAGCGACGATAACCACTTACCATCAGGTGAGCTGTATGCTTGTCTGCCTACACGGGCAATAAAACTATTAACGCAAATATATATATTACTGGTGGAAGAGCGTCTTGTGAGCAAGCTCAGGTAGCTACCACCACCCTGATTATTTGTGCCGTGAAGCAATAATGCGTTTCGGTTTGAATCGGGCAATAGTGTTATACTGTAAAACTGGGGCCTAGCCTAACTCATGGTGGTTGGTATTACGCTCAACACCAGGTCGGTCGTGAGTTCGTCCACCCATTAAAGCAATTAAAAAAAAACATTACATATAATAATACCGTAGAACTGCATTCGGTGTCTGCACATTAAATATTTGAAAAAAAAAACTATTCTAAGACAAGAAAAGACATCACGAATGGAAAAAGTTTTTGAAATTTCTGTCTGTTGATTTGTTTCCTTCCAATAAACATAAATATTTTTCAAGTCAATACGAGCAGGAAGATTGAGATTTCTAATTTAAAGACATGGCACAGGTGTTTTAATCACGCTATTGTTTGTTTTATCTTTACATTTCGGTTAGTCTTAATATTGTATCTTTGTTAAAGAAATTCAGTATCAGGACTTTGAATGTATCGATTTGTTCTTGTTTCTTAAGTGTTGTTCCGTCGTCTATAATACCAAGAAAATCGTAGCTTGGAGCCGCTGAATTTTGAATGTTTATCATTGAAATGAAAAACATTATTTAACGTTGTAATTTAAAAAGAAAAGGTGGCAAGCATAATCATGGGATTTAGCTTCTGAATAATTGACATATAATATTTCTTAGAGTTCTTTCTACTTTTACCGTGCGTTAAGTGCACACAACACGTGCAATTTTTTTAAATATATTATCTTGTTCTCACCGAACTTGTTTCTTATTATTCCTACTTTTTTATTATGATTAATTGGCAAATAACTTATTAGAACTAGTTTCTGATCGCCTTCATACTTATCTATATTTGTAGTTATCTAGGTCATATAAACATGTAGGTATTAAGCGGCGTTGCAAAAGTAATAATTCCCCAAAACTAAAATCGTTATCATTTATGAACTGCTCTGTAAAGTATCCATACAGACAGGAAGCGACTTCATTTTTGTATTACGTGTATTGCGGAGAAATCTATGATCTGGCTGTCTGTCGATAAGAATCAATTGTACGCATATGGAGGTATTTGTTAAGTACATATTTACGGATGATATATTGATAATTATTAGCTTGGAAATGCTATGGGCTGAAGGAAAGCCGCCTGGTGTATTTGTGACAGCGATGTGACTTGGCTGGGTTCAACCTCCACAGCAGGAGGAAGTTTTTCTAAGTATTAAGTTAACTAAGGCTTCAAATATGAAGGATCGATAATATCGTTTTATTAATATGAGCCCTGGATTATTTTTAATCCAATGTATATCAATAACTATTTAACACCATTCAATTTAATATGGCGTGAGTTTTGCCCACCCAACTATAGCAAATAATTAAAACTTCACTATTTGTTCTCCTCAAAAATATAAATTAAAGATACAATGCAATTGAGATTACAGCTTCACGGAGTTCGTTCACGGCGTTGACTTGCATGTGCTCCGGAAAGATATTAACATTTTTTTTTTTTTATCCTACCTAAGCTGATAGCCCTAGCGGCTATGTCAGCGTAACCCTAACTTTAGTAGGTGAGCTCACGGGGCTCAAACCTGGTGACGTTGCTAACACGAACCCTAGCAAGAGCCGTGCTTCGCAGAATCTACCACCGGATCGGAAACGCGACCCACTGAGAAGATCCGGCGAGAAACTCAGTGGGCTGTGTCTGAGAGTTAATTTACTCGTCGAGCCCTTCGTCGCAAGCGACGGGTTCGACGAGAACGGTGACCGGTGCTTGAAGTACCTAAAAGCACCGTTAGTGGATCGGGAGGATCCGAGATGACGTGTTTTGGGCGACGTCGACTGCTTTCCATTCTGTCCGCAGGATCGGGAATGAGATATTAACAAATTACACAATAAAACATAATCGAAACGATGCAAAAAAAAATCATTCGATAAATAAATACCACAGTATACTGATAATANTCATCGTGGCCGCCGGTAACTACATTCCCGATCCTGCGGACAGAATGGAAAGCAGTCGACGTCGCCCAAAACACGTCATCTCGGATCCTCCCGATCCACTAACGGTGCTTCTAGGTACTTCAAGCACCGGTCACCGTCCTCGTCGAACCCGTCGCTTGCGACGAAGGGCTCGACGAGTAAATTAACTCTCAGACACAGCCTACTGAGTTTCTCGCCGGATCTTCTCAGTGGGTCGCGCTTCCGATCCGGTGGTAGATTCTGCGAAGCACGGCTCTTGCTAGGGTTCGTGTTAGCAACGTCATCAGGTTTGAGCCCCGTGAGCTCACCTACAAACGTTAGGGTTACGCTGAAATAGCCTCTCAAGGCTCTCAGCTTAGGTAGGAAAACCAAAAAAAAGTGACTTGGCTGGGTTCAACCTCCACAGCAGGAGGAAGTTTTTCTAAGTATCAAGTTAACTAAGGCTTCAAATATGAAGGATCGATAATATCGTTTTATAAATATGAAGCCTGGATTTTTTTTAATCCAATGTATATCAATTACTATTTAACACCATTCAATTTAATATGGCGTGAGTTTTGCCCACCCAACTATAGCAAATAATTAAAACTAATACTTCACTATTTGTTCTCCTCAAAAATATATATTAAAGATACAATGCAATTGAAATTACAACTTCACGGTGTTCGTTCACGGCGTTGACGTGCATGGAGCTCCGGAAAGAAATTAACAACGTCTATACAATAAAACATAATCGAAACGATGCAAAAAAAATCATTCGATAAATAAATACCACAGTATACTGATAATATTGTTTTTAAACTAGTTAAGCCTCGTGAAATGATTATGTGGGACTTCACGGAAGAATTATGACACTTGACGTTTTAAAAGCACTAGATTTTGAGGGCGGGGCGTCGCAAGGTTGCTGTTATGAAAACACTCGTTTTCTGCTGTTCCGTTGTAAAGGGGTGCGACGCCCCAACCCACTCTAGCGGTAACGACCTCGAGCTGCCTTTATCTATAGCTCTCAGTTTAAACACTATACTGTTATACTTTTAATTTTAAACATGACTAAAGACTTTTTAGGAAAATCCAAACGAAATTTTTTTTTCGATTAGTTTTTAACCGAATATATGAATACTAATTTATTTATTGGTGTTTTTTTTAATATTACGTACTACGTATGATAAAAATGCTACTTACTCGCGTTACATGGATAGCGTGAATAATTTGCCGCTGTACATATTATAGGTATTTAATATAAAACAACTGCGTCAGAACATGCTTTAATTGCTAGGAAATAATATATGTAGTGGTCGTTATAATAAGTAAACAATGTGCGCAGTACGGCGAGACTGGAAACAAGTTTCCCTTACAAACGACGCTGTAGCGGGAAAATGTGGAAACGTGAAAAACGCGCGCATAGGGGTGGCAGCGGGGCAGCCATTCCGTGGATGAACGCGCGGCCGCGCGCCGCCTAAATCGATACGTCTCCGTTTTTACACTTCCAAAACGAATATTATTTAAGAAAAAAAATCTACGTACGTACTATAATATATTTTTTTTATAAATTAATGTAGATTCGCGTATTGTCACATTTATTATCGTTTTCATTAAAGTGCCAATGCCGTAAATGAGTGCGACGCAGATTGTTTTATGATGGAGTAGGTGAGTGTAACAATTATTGGCACCTTTTGATGACCTACTTAGCATCATGCCGGTTCCGATGTACTCATACATATTAGTTCTTTTGATTCATATCAGATATCAAGACATGAATTGTTTGTTAGCCAAATTGTGATTTATTTTAGATTATCATTGGTCAGGATAATTTTCAATTAAATTCCATTACTCAGTACTTAGTTCAATTTAGATACGTGAAAGTCACATGCTATTCGTCAATTTAATGTTAATGACAGAAATGGTAAATCATCTTTATTATTGCGTAGGTACACAAAATATTTAAATTATAAAAAACGTATTTACAAAATGAACAAATTATATAGATAATTAACAGTATTTATATGCCGGTATAATAATCGATGCATTACCTCATGAAAATTACAATTCATTTTCAAATGTATTTTTTTCCATTGTATGATTATTTTGATGAAGGATAAAGATAAAGTTTACGTTTATTGTAAATTACGAATATAGATGAAATTTGAATTGAATTTTATCCCGGTAAAGTGAAAATAGGTTAGAATACTCAAGTGTCATTGACCGTAGCTTGGAGAGGTACCCCAAAATTCACTCAACATTCGCCAAATACGTTGAGGGGGAAAATATCGTTTTACTACGGTCCTTTTGTCTTGATAATTTCATAAATCACAGCATTCATAAATCAATATACGGCTTACGTGCTATAAAGGTGTGATATTCTAATAACCCTACTCTGAAATGGTAACGTAGTGTTTGAACACAAATGTATAGATAGATAGGTAAGAACTGGAACCCAGGTTCGAATTATCAATCGTAATTCGTCGATAAATACATTTAAGTACAGAGAATAAATAAAATTTATCATGAAGCCAAATTTTTGTGCGAAATGTGACTTATATAATTTTAATTATATAATTAATACTGAACGAATTAAATCCAGACCAATTTTCCTTTCAATGGTTTGATCAAATAATTAACGACTTCAAGAGAAACTTGCGTAAAAACTTTTTCTCTCACTTTCATAAATAGTGTTAATATATTTCACGCATGGAACTGGTTTTCACGTTTACCAATACGAAAGTCAATGGGCCCTTCGTAATGCTTGGAAAGCTGTTTAAGGTGATACTAACGAGTCGGTCAGTAGACGGCTGACGAGCTGCTGATGGAGGAAAGCCTTTTTGTAGTTACAAATTGACATTTTAAGAGGATTACCGGTGAAAGGTTGTCGAAGCGGTAATTGAGCAACTCCGCTGTACATTTAAGTCTACGAAATTAGCTGCGGTTTGAGAAATATTTTGTTGATTTTGATCATAAAAATGTCTACTTGTACTCGGTCGATGATTCTGTTCATATGAATTCTAACATAGTGTTTTTGTTTCCATTAGCCGACTTGTAGACTATTGAAATACTTTCCCATAAAAACGAATCACATTATAATTTTTGAGAAATGTTATTAATGTTTTCAAAGTGCTTCTTAAAGTTACTGTTTACTGGTGGTAGGACCTCTTGTGAGTCCGCGCGGGGTGGGTACCACCGCCCTGCCTATTTCTGCCGTGAAGCAGTAATGCGTTTCGGTTTGAAGGGTGGGGCAGCCGTTGTAACTATTGTTGATACCTTAGAACTTATATCTCAAGGTGGGTGGCGCATTTACGTTGTGGATGTCTATGGGCTCCAGTATCCACTTAACACCAGGTGGGCTGTGAGCTCGTCCACGCTTCTACGAATAAAGAGTCACTTAGTAATGAAGGTGAGGAGACATAGACACGAAAATCACGATTACGTATTAGTGGTAAAAGGAGCATTTATTTGCTATTAAGACGAAAAAACATTGGTGGTAGCCCAATCTTCGGGGCTACATGCCCACATCTTAAACACATGCCAAAAGTCACTGATATTTAAAAAGAGACATTTCAGATTCAATTTAATTTTACGATATCGTTGATTATTTGGAGATATTCGATGTAATAGATGTCAGTTACACATATATTTTTAATAGCTTGATAAAGTTGAAATACTTAACATAAAAAAAAAAACATAATTTATAAACTACTTCAATCTGCCAAAATAATAGAAAGTTTGTAAAGGTTACGAGATAAACTCAATGTCACGTTATGGGAGTTGTACTGTGGTACCGTTAATGTCTCAGTAGGGACACTTTCACTGTCTGGCCCACGCCCCGATCAAAATCTGATAACCGTTCTACCATGACGTACGACTGTCGGCAATACAAGCAATTACCATTGACCAAAGCATCTTTCGAAATCGTTTGTCACGTTATTTATTAATCTTTAGGGAACGAAAGGCGTCATTACATTTCAAAAGGCTTCTCAAGTGAATACGGGATCACAGAAATCAGAAATTACCGCACTTATTTTGATAAGTTATTGAAGCAACATCGTAATTCGCAGATTACTTGTTTCACAGGTCTTAAGAACGTGATTGACCGAAAAGATTTTTTACGCCATCTTACTTTTATGTTCCAGCGATGTTTCGAATACTTTATGATGTAGGATTAAAGATAACCCATAAACTTAAAAACCCATAAAACTGTTTTTCGATAACTAATTTATGATTCTTGGTAGTTTCGAAACTCAAGACTTGTGTCTTCTTCGTCTTCTTCATCGCTTCCTCATTACTGAGGGTTGTGACCATCTTGGTCCAGTTTTTGCACCAGCTTCCTCCAATGTTGTCTGCATTCGGCCTGCTTAATGGCGCCCGAGACGCTGGTGTTTGTGGCCTCCTTGACAATGTCCGTCCACCTGGTTGGCAATCTTCCTCGACTTCTCTTTCCTTCCACGTGACGCATTTGAAATGTGGTGTTGGCGCAAAATGTTGGCTGTATCATGGACGGAGCGCCGAGCAAATGTGTCAATTCTCTCGGAGCTAAACTTCATGACCCGTCTATCTACGAAATGTATTCAGCGTCTCCTCAAGTACTTCGGACACGTGGCCCGACGAAATCCTGACAAATTGGAAAAATTTATAGTTGCAGGTCACGTGGAAGACTTGTGTAGATACAATAAAAAAAAGTGTTCGCGAGAAGTGAAATGAACCCTTGTTTTAATTTGAAAAATATGCAGCGAAGATATTCCCTTCATAGCGGACGGAGATTAAACGAGGGAAGCGGACTGTTTCCCCTCATGAGATATTAATTCCTTTGGGAAGGGCTGTTTTATGAGATAACGTATTACGTAGCCGCATCTCAGAAAATGATATGTCAAAGAAAATTTATATATTTGAAGACATTTATGAGCTTTGCCGTTTTATTTTGGTTAGCCTCTGTCTTCGTGTTCTAAATAAGAATTCTGAATTCTCGTGAATGTTTTATTTGATGTAGGGGTGAGAATTTTCACGGTAAATTCTCTATACGATTATCAAATAAATATTATATTACCAATATTAGTATCAGAGCAGTAATATTTTTTGACATGAAATTTAAATTTTTTAGTTTCGTTCACCATTCACGTTGTTAAAGTATCTGAGCACTTCATGACTGCCCATGACTTCTTTCGCGCATCTAAACAGAACAAATATGTGTAAATAGACATAAAATAAATTTCGTATTGATATTTCACTGTTATAAAGGCAAAAAATATATTTTTATTAATGAACTAGCTTTTGCCCGCGACTTCGTCCGCGTGGAATTATTCACAAATAATGCTTTATTTTAAAACAAATTTGGTTAGCATAAAAACGTTATAGTGAGCCAACCTTAACATATAGACATATGCTGTCGCGGACTTTTTTTTTAGATCTTTTGAAAGGGAACAATTCTGTCATACATTATTTTAGCCAAACTTGAATCGTTTCTGCAGCGCACGTAGCGGAAGTTCTCAAAAGGGAAAAAAGCCGATTTTGAAATATTCTTTATTGGTGCTCCGCTTGTATTAGTCTTAGCATGATGTTATATAGCCTTCCTCAATAAATGGGTTATCTAACACTGAAATAATTTTTCAAATCAGATCAGTAGTTCCTGAGATTAGCGCGTTCAAACAAATAAACTCTTCAGCTTTATTATTATAGAGTATAGATTATTTGCACTATATATGAGTGTAGATTATTTGCACTACCAATGAATAACAGCTGGGACAACAATCGTTGTATCAGCTACTAGCTGTGCGATATGGTATGGTATTGTTCAGGGTATTGTCCAGCAGATAGACGAGGGAAATGGAGCACGACGCGACGAGCGGCGACAACCGCTAGTCCGAACTATTGTCAATTATATTCTTCGCAATTACTAGGTACCTGTTCTTGTTCGTTGCCCGTATCATACCAAGCATCGTGGTTTGCTATGTACTTTTTTAGCACAGATGGATAAGCCAGCTCCATGTTTGCTTGGTGTACAGTAATCAATCCATATATTGGCAACAATAAAAACTCACCCAACCTTAGTTCTCGAGTAAAGTCATCGTTGTGCCTTTTTTAAAGTAGTATTACCTAATTATGTATTACGTAGTAATGATAATAATATGTTTAAAAAATAACATTTTTTCAATTATATATGTCCTTTTTACCTAGGTAGGCTTAGTTTATTTATAGTTCAACGAAGGATTAATGAAGTGAAGGAATTTAAACGCTGGAAATTTATAAAAATATCTTGTGTTTATTTATCTTTCTCTTATTCTAATTAACCCTTTGACCGCCTTTTAGGTCACCGGTACCCTACGTGGTGCACTAAGTAATTATGTCGATTTCTTTCTTCGATCTTGTTACTTAGGCGCCAGAATATCTAGCAGATTCTGGGAAAGGCGAATTCGAAGATACTGGGAATGAATTTATTCCTAAGAGACCTACAAGTCTACAGCATACATATTAACAAACAAAAGAAAGCAAAGTTAGGCAATCCAGGCGCCTTGGTAACAAAATATCAACATAACTACTTCAATACACCGCGTAGGGCACCGGTGACCCACACGGCAGTCAAAGGGTTAATGATGTGTTTTGGTCCTTTACAGTTTTACATTGTTTTGACCAAAGACTTTTGATAGGAATCTTACTTGACTCTTTCAGTATTTTAGTTGAAACATAAATCATTATCAGAATAGGGAAATGCGAAAATAAAACATCCAAGTACCGTTGGTAAACCGCAACTCATACCGTTATGTAATTATATTTTCGATGAAATTGATGAATTATATAAATAAAATTTGCTCTGAATTACTTTTAAAGTAAAATATTGCTTATACAAACGGTAATTACATAACTTGTATAAGAATAATTTATGTGCATTTCTTCAATTCTACAATTGAAGCCAGCGTTTATAATTATTAAGGGTTTTTTTTAAACTAATACAAATTGTTTTCAAAAGAAACTTCATACCGCATTATTATACTCGTAGCTTACGATCCTAAAACAATAATTTCACTTTCATCTCATTACATAACACCGATCTGATTAAACCTAATTGGCGCTTTTCTCTTTCCAGTGTTTACCTCCAAATTGTCATCGTCAGTTTACATTTCCGTACTTTTGTGAGTGTAAGTGAAATTATATACGAGTACCTAGTATCTTGGGAGTCTTACAATATGACAGCAGCACCGGCGGCATCGTGTATGAGCACTGAACACGGATGCGTTATGTTCGACTGCCTTGTTCATCTATGGGAATGGTAAGTTATGTTTCTGTAACTCCACCATCGAAACATCTCGTCGGATCCGTTACTAGTTTTTTTTTTATTGCTTAGATGGGTGGACGAGCTCACAGCCCACCTGGTGTTAAGTGGTTACTGGAGCCCATGGACATCTACAACGTAAATGCGCCACCCACCTTGAGATATAAGTTCTTAGATCTCAGTATAGTTACAACGGCTGCCCCACCCTTCAAACCGAAACGTATTACTGCTTCACGGCAGAAATAGGCAGGGCGGTGGTACCTACCCGCGCGGACTCACAAGAGGTCCTACCACCAGTAGTCTCGTCAGGCTACTGTACCAATTGATCTGAGTTCGGTTTCCGGGGGCGCTATCTTTGTTCAAAAAATTGGTGATCGTGTCTTAACTTTCTTGTTCTTTCCGAAAATATTAGTTTGAAGTTAACTGAAAACAACTCGTGCGTATTAACTGATTTTTAACTAAGTATGGTTTTATTGTCCTAAAAATCCCTTGTTAAATCAGATATGCGTTTCAGTTTCAAAGGCGGTCGCCTTATGTCTCAAGGTGGGTAGTAGCATCCAGGTTGTCATCTCTATTGGTCCCTCTAGGTCCCTATAGGCATCTCTATAGGTCCCTGTATCCACGTAAAAACTAGTAGGCTATGAATATCATCTAACTATAGTGGAATAATAATCTGGATTTTATTGTCATATGTAATAATAAGTGTAATCCTCACGTTAAGGTCTTACTTAATAAGGACGCTATAACGTAATATATGAACTTCCTTATACTAATAATTGAGGAAAAGCAAATTACTTCAAAGTATGTTAATCTAAACTGCGCCTCAGTGGAAAAGCGTTTGAAAATTATAGGCTAGTATTATAATGTAGGATAATTGGAGTTAATGAAAAACACAAGTGCATAGAGTCTGCGTTTATGTTTGAAATGCATGCAAGAATAATATGAATTACTCGCTCATAATTATTTAAATTTTTACTTGTAAATTGTAAAAAGACAGATGTACTGTAACTACTATGCAGTAAGAGCTACAAAAAACTATTGATTGTGTAAGATGTATAAGATACACACTAGCTATATTTCCGACTAGTTGTGCTTGTCACTTCGTCCGTCCGTGCGGACTTAAGTGGCTTTTTTAGGCCTAGGGGGACTGGTGGTGGGCTTCCCAAGTTCATCACCAATAATAGTTCAAGGAATCTGCATCATGGCTAGTGTATTCCTACCGGATTTTGTTCGTAGCTATTATTAGTTGAGCTAAGAGCAGCAATTTAAGATTTATTAAATATAGATATCGTGATGACTAATAAGAACTAACTCAAAATTTTAATGCAATGTATTAATTACGCGCGGACTTTTACAAACCGCATTCATTTTATTTATACAGAAACACTAAATGTAACAAATATAAATCTGCTAGAATATTATTTTATTCTAAAGCAGAACCGTGCTTTCGAGTTGCAATTCATAATATTCTACATACAATGTCCTATTTTATGTCTAACTTTAGAAGGCGGCGCTGAAAGCATGGCTGTGTAAGGCTTAACGAGAAGTCTAGACGTATTGTTAAGCATACGGATACATGTATACATCTAAGAATTTTCAGACAAGTGATGAGAGATGGTCCACGTTAACAATATGTGGGATCATAATATTTAAACTGTTGTTGGCTTATGTACTTGCAGCCGCTGGCAGCATTTTGAACATACATTGATATGTTCTGTGCTACAGAGAGAAAATCCGCCGGACTTTTTGGCGGGAAAACAAATAATCTTCATTTCATTTTATTTTATTTCACTCCATATTATCATTTTTCATAAAATTAAGATTATAAATAAAAATAAGAAACGACTTGAAGGTCTTAGTTACCAGGTCATAAAATCCCTTAAAAAAAAAGAAAACCCGCCAAAACTAAAGCTTGTAAAATGACAGTCTTATTATTCTAATTGTAAATGTCGGATATATATTGTTATTTCACGTTTCATACCTACATCTTGCATCTTGCATAGGGGCCTTCAAATCTTATTATTTTGATTATTAGCTGTAAGTATACATAGAAAATACAATGAAACTAAACTAATGAGTTTTCGTTTTAATGACTGTCCGAATACAGAGAAACAAAAGTTATTAAAGACGAAACGAAATTTTCTACCAAAGTCTCTGTTAATTAAGATCGATAAAGGTTTTAGGGGCGCTTATCACTAGTCTGCACAATATCGAAATCATTACTAACATTAGCATAGCGATGGCATTTTCTAAAAAGCCAGGTAAGCAGAACTGTATCAAAAATAATGACAAATACTGCACGCTTATTATAATACCTAATCCTCGCTGAATGGCAAATTGGGCATACGTTGTGGAATTCTGTAAACTACAAGTACATAGTAGCGTACGTATACGCACGGTGGTGGGGATATTTATTCTTTATTTTTGTACACACTGTTAATATAATACAGTAATTGCGATAAGATATAAAAAAAAATGGCGAGCTTAACTCAACAATTGAGTTATCTACCAGCTAACCGTTCTCAAAGAAGGAAAGCTTTACATGAGTGGGTAGATGAGTACAATCTAATTAATTTAATTATTTATACTATAGACATTAACAATAAAAATAATAAAAATAAACACTAATACATCATCATTCATCATCATCATTTCAGCCTATCGCCGTCCACTGCTGAACATAGGCCTCTCCAATAGATTTCCAGTGCGACCGGTCCATTGCCACCTGCATCCAACGAGACCCAGCGCTTTTTACTAGGTCGTCGGTCCATCTAGTAGGTGGCCGTCCCACACTGCGCTTGCCAGTACGTGGTCGCCACTCCAGGATCTTTCTGCCCCATCGACCGTCCTCTCTTCGTGCTATGTGGCCGGCCCATTGCCACTTCAGTTCACTAATTCTACGGGCTATGTCAGCAACCTTCGTTCTTCTACGGATCTCCTCATTTCGGATTCGATCACGTAGAGAAATGCCGAGCATAGCCCTCTCCATAGCTCGCTGCGCGACTTTGAGCCTTCTAAAAAGATCCCTAGTGAAGCACCACGTCTCCGAGCCGTAAGTCATCACTGGTAACACACATTGGTTGTACACCTTTGTCTTAAGGCACTGAGGTATTTTGGACGAGAAGACGTTGTGCAGTTTACCGAACGCTGCCCAGCCGAGTTGGATCCGTCTACTGACCTCTCTCTCAAAGTTGGACCTACCTAATCGGACTGCCTGTCCTAGGTATATATATTCGTCAACAACTTCAAGAGTAGAGCTCCCA